TACAATATGACAATATGATGTATATGTGTACTAATGTACTCTAATGAGCTGTGTACAATATGACCAATATGATGTAGATGTGTACTAATGTACTCTAATGAGCTGTGTACAAGTGTAGTAGAGGTATACTCACTCCCTAATAAGCTCAGGTAACAGTTTCTTCATCTCCGTGTACAGCTGTGGGTACTGTCTCTCGTAGTAGCTGCTGTCTATCTGTATCTCCACATCACCCCTGGTACATTTTGGATGAACGATATAACATATCAACATATCGTTAAAGAACGACAATAGAAATATATAATTTTTAAATATTTTTTTTTAAATTCTAATTTTATCCAGTATTCAAATGATCGGTAGCGTACACTACAGCTTTATAGAGTTAGGATTGGTGATAGATTGTTTTTAATCCAAACGCTTTTTTTTACTAAACAAATCTTGTTTCATTCAGAATCCAACATATTCTTCCAATGCCTGCTTGATTCTGTTTAAATAGACTGATTTGTTTATAAAGTAGACATCGTACATCTACTTGGATATAAAGTAAACATTGTCCACCTACTTGTATATAAAGTAGACATTGACCACCTACTTGTATATAAAGTAGACATTGTACACCTACTTGTATATAAAGTAGACATTGTCCACCTACTTGTATATAAAGTAGACATTGTCCACCTACTTGTATATAAAGTAGACATTGTCCACCTACTTGTATATAAAGTAGACATTGTCCACCTACTTGTATATAAAATAGACATTGTCCACCTACTTGTATATAAAGTAGACATTGTCCACCTACTTGTATATAAAGTAGACATTGTCCACCTACTTGTATATAAAGTAGACATTGTCCACCTACTTGTATATAAAGTAGACATTGTACACCTACTTGTATATAAAGTAGACATTGCCCCCCTACTTGTATATAAATTATACATTGTCCACCTACTTGTATATAAAGTAGACATTGTACACCTACTTGTATATAAATTAGACATTGTCCACCTACTTGTATATAAAGTAGACATTGTCCACCTACTTGTATATAAAGTAGACATTGTCCACCTACTTGTATATAAAGTAGACATTGTCCACCTACTTGTATATAAAGTAGACACTGTCCACCTACTTGTATATAAAGTAGACATTGTCCACCTACTTGTATATAAATTAGACATTGTCCACCTACTTGTATATAAAGTAGACATTGTCCACCTACTTGTATATAAAGTAGACATTGTCCACCTACTTGTATATAAAGTAGACATTGACCACCTACTTGTATATAAAGTAGACATTGTCCACCTACTTGTATATAAAATAGACATTGTCCACCTACTTGTATATAAAGTAGACATTGTCCACCTACTTGTATATAAAGTAGACATTGTCCACCTACTTGTATATAAAGTAGACATTGTCAACCTCTTGACCTTGTCTAGCCAACTTCTCGCTGTAGCCGATCTTGATTTTCTTGAAGCTGATGACCAACTGGTTCCTCTGACGCGGCGTCCAGGACCTACAGAAGAGTCAACTGTTGAGTCAGAACGTCGGTGTTACACCGTGATCAGTTGTCATCACTTATATGTGACCAAAGCGTCAGTAGAGTCAGCATTCTGTGTAACTAAATCGTCAGTAGAGTCAGCAGTCCTGCGTGACCAAAGCGTCAGTAGAGTCAGCAGTTCTGTGTAACTAAATCGTCAGTAGAGTCAGCAGTCCTGCGTGACCAAAGCGTCAGTAGAGTCTGTGTGACTCTGACAAGTCTACTCATTATTAGTCTATCACTCTACGAACAATGTCAGGCTAGGATACTAAAGTAACATGTTTTATAAAATTCCGTTTAGAATTAGTGGCCTTGTTAAAGGACCCGGGTATAATTTATCAAGTAGGTTAATTGTCTGGTTATGTTATGGAGTATCAATGTACCCAGTAGTGTTGTTATGGTAAAGACAGTTTTAAGACAGTCTATAGTTGAAGTACTGGAGGATGTAGGCGTAATGGTAGGCAATACACACAATAAAGGCGTTGTAGTAGGCAATTATTCAGGTAAGCTAGGAAATAGTTCATGTAAGGTTGGCAATAGTTCAGGTAAGGTAAGCAACAGTCCAGGTACTTTCGGTAATAGTTCAGGTAAAGTTAAAAATAGTTTAGGTAATTTAGTAAATACTTCGGGTAAGGTTGGCAATAGTTCAGGTAAGGTATGACATAGTTTAGGTAAGTTAAGCAATAGTTCACGTAAGGTTCGCAATAGTTTAGGTAAGGTAGTTGAGATAAGTTTGACAATAGTTAAGGTAAGGCTAAAAATAGTTCAGCTAAGTTGGACAAAAGTTCAGATAGAAAATAGTTCGGGTAAGGTAGCCAATAGTTCGTGATAGCGGAAGAAATTGTTAGATAAAATAGGAAATAGTTGAGGAAAATTAGGCAATAAATTTAAAATGTCTGTTTATTATTTGATTAGAGCGTTGATTTGGAAAATGATCATCAGTAATCTACTAGTAAAAAAAAAATTGGCATATTCTTAGAAAACACGACAAAGAAAACCCATCGAAGGCCGAAACAGATCAAGGTCACGTACTTGAAGAACGGGTTCCTCTCCACGAAGTTGGTCTTGTCCTGAAACTCCTTTTCGATGACCTCCTTGACAGACACGGCATAGAGCGCGCGGTCTATGACGACGAACTCACACAGCGTGGAGGCGAAACAGCTGGCTGTCCGCATACAGTTCTCACTGACGAGGGCTACTTCACCTATACACGCTCCGGCCGCTGGGGGGGGGGGGGAGGGAGAGAGGGGTGGGGGTAAGGTGTTATGATCCTGGTTTATGTATTATATGTTTTGAAATTTATTTTTCAAGAAACCACAAATAGCTAGTAGTGGACCGTTATAAATAGGACAGGAATTAACACCACATATAGCTAGTAGTGGATCGTTAACAATGAGACGGGAATTTACACCACAAATAGCTGTAACTGGTTTACGTAACACATGTCTTGTCATTTATTTTTCAAGAAACAAACTTTTTCAAATACATAAGGCAATGTTTCTATTTTTACATTATTAATATAGAAGATGATTGGAAAACTAGAAAATTTCATATTGGTAATAATTTGTCAAACTACAAATTTGTCATGGGACGGCGTGGTCTAGTGGTAGAAGACTTTCCGCAAGTCTCGAGCTCAAATCTGGGTTCAAGTCAGTAGAACGTCCCTGAGTCCATCCAGCTCTGATGGGTACCTAACTCACGTTATGGAAAGTAAAGGTGGCTGGGCATAGTGCTGACCACACTATCTCTTCATATGCCGAGGTCACAGATATTCTATTTCACTCATGTACCGTCAGGTTCGAAAGAGGAACTTTAGCTTTTGAAAAATGTAACAACTGTAATGTTCCCATTTGCAAAGCTTCCAAATTCAAAATAATGTAACAAACACAACATACACGCCATTTACGTTACAATTATACTACTTTTTTATACAATTAAGGCTTTAATTAAATGAAGATTGTTGAGAACCAATTCATACAAAATATGCCCAGCCAACCAGTTAAAGTTCAAAACACAAAAACACCACTACTAACAATTCCCTGTTTAAAAACTATAAAAAGAAACGTATTCAATTTCAAATCTGAGATCTCATTAAGATTTTAATTAAGTTTAATTAGCCTGGGAGGGGTCGTGTCACCAGCACTTGTAAGACAATGTAAAGTGTCTTTTGGTATTTTAAACATTAATTTTACAGGGGCAGGAAACGACATGTTGCTATTGTCACAAATGAACAGTGACACAATACAGCTCCGCTGAGATCTATTACTGGTGTTGAGTCTCTTTGTTGTGGCTCATATGCGAGCTATTTGTGGTTTAATTTGTGTCTTATTGTTGTAGATCCGCAACTAGCTATTTGTGGTGTTCATTTGAGTCTTATTGTTAAGGTCCTATACGAGCTATTTGTGGTGTTAATTCGCGTCATTTAAAATATAACCGTTAAATCACACACAAAAGAAGCGTAGGCATTGATTATCTTCTGAATGGTGCTAATGAAAGAATGCATGTTTTACGTCATACACCAGGGGGGTCCAATCGATTCGTCTTTGTACCGCATCAGTTAAACCCAAAGGATATTGGTGCCTCCCCTATGCCTGACCCACCCCTCCCAAACCAAGTTTATAGCTCTATGCTTAACAATGTCGCGTATGGGTCAGAACGTCTTAAATTCAAACTGTCTCAAGAAGAACAAGGTACAGCTATCGTTTGTGTTCAATATCGATTCCATGTTCCGAAAATATTTTACAGACAGTTTTATATTACTTTTTTGTTTGCGGTTAAATTAGAGATGTTGATTCGATATGTAGCGAGCGTCACCCAATGTTTCTTTCAGACTTTATTCAACAGAAGATAAGGACATTTGAAACTTCCAGTGTGAGGGTGGGTGGTGGTTAAAACATGGGTTAAAGTAATATATTTTTTCCATAATTTTCTTTTTCGGCGTGGGGGCGGGTCAACACGACCCTCACCCTTTCTCCACCCCGGGAGAGATGTCGGAAAGCAAATTCAGGTGTCCCCACACCTAGGGGCTTCCACTGTTAAATTGTTATTTAAATGTCGTAGCAAATGAAAGTTTTAAATCCGCTTGCTAGTTCCCAGCAATAAACTTAAACTATTCTTAGGTTTAAAGTTGTACTGTAAGACTTGGGCTAGGATAGGACGTAAGGTCTGAGTTCGTGTTCAAAGTTTCTGCTAGGAATCTCTCGGGGGTGAAAATATATACTTTAACAAGTGTCCGCCTCCGCCCCAACCCCCCACCCCCCTTTAAAAATATCAAGTACCCACCCAGAGAAAAATGTCTGAAAGAAACACTGTTCTTGTTAGGATAGCCTTAAATCAACAAGTTATTATTTGGTTACAATGTATTACCATAAACCAATTTTTTTTTCAAAAGAAGATTCTTCATTATGGCGTTATCGGAAAATTAGTGTAAAGAAAATTTTAAAATGAATACAAACTTTTCTGGGCCACTTCGTTGCCGAAATCGTTTTTACTGAACTTCTTCTTGCCCAGCGCGGCCTCCACCCTGTTGAGACACTCCCTCTCGTTTTCCGACTCGAAGATCACGTGCACGGAGACCTCACCCCTCAGGATGGCAAACATGCTGGGGAACATCAAAGGGTTAAACTCAAATTTGGGGTTTTAATTGGATCTTTAAGACTTAAAAGTGTAACAAATTTTTTGGGGATATTTTTACATCAAAGGGTTAAACTCAAATTTGGGGTTTTCTTCTTCGTTCTTAATTCTAGTGTTGAAGGGATCCCTTCCAACATTATTAAGCATACGTGTCTACTTGTTATGCACCACTGACTCCAATTGCAGCCTGCTTTTTTTTGGATTTGCTTCCATAGTCTTTGTTCAACAGCAGTTGTTTGATTTTGGAGTTGTCTCTCCTAGAAGAGTGGCTGTACCCAGCCTCATCTGCCCGATGGTTTGAACTCGAGACGTTTCAGTTTAGCAACCATGAGCTTTTAATTTTAATTAGATCACAAACAAGTGACAAATTATTATTTTTTTTTGGTAATATTAACATCAAAATGTTAAATTTAAATTTGGTGATTTAATAAGAACTTAAACGTGTAACAATTGTGTGTGTGTGTTTGGAGATGTAGACGTCAAAGGGTTAAACTCAAATTTTAGGTTTTAAGACTTAAACGTGTAACATTTTTGTGTGGATATGTTTACATTACATCAAAGGGTTAAAACATTTTTTGTGTGCAAATGTAGACATCAAAAAGTTAACCTAAAACTTGGGGATTTATTAGAACTTAAGAAACAATTTATTTTTGGTCATGTCGGCACCAGAGTGTTAAACGAAAACTTGGTATTTTAAATAGAACTTAATCAGAAGACAAATTCTTTATTGAGTAAAACTGACCATACTTCAGAGTTGAAAATTGGGAACTTCAATTATAACGACAAATAAATTAATTAGTTATCAGAGAAATAGCGCCATCAAAGTGTTTAATTAAAATGTATACTTCATTTAATTAACATTAATTATTTTAAATGAAAGAGTTTCTTTCAGAACTGGTGTTCCGATGGTAGATGGAGTAGAGTTCGTTTGATTCAATAACCTACACTTATAAAAGAATAGTGCGGTCAGCATCATGCGGAGCCGCTTTAGTTTGCCTATAGTCAGGTACTCATCAAAGCTAAGTGGACTGAGGATTAATTAATTAGTCAATTACCTGTCTCCTGTGTCGCCTTGTTTGATGAAAATTGAGTCCGGCTCGACACGTAAATATTTGCATCTTTTAATAATTTCTTGAATACTACCTGGAATAAATGTGTCAATAAAATGTGGAATTAATATTTTATCGGTATTTTAGCTGTAGATTTTAACTCATGCATACTAAACTCCTGTGTCGAGTTTGAACCACATTTACAAGTTAAGTTTTGTAGTTTCTTCTATGGAAGGATCCGTTAACCTTTTCGAGTAAAGAGCCATTTTATTGGTGACCTAGGTAGTTCACTAAAGATCAGGTGGTGTTCCATACAGTCATCTACTCCGTCTAGTGACGAATGAAATCTTTTTGTTGGGACCACTACTTTGGAAGAAGAACATAGCCCTTTTCCCCCACACCTCCCCCGTCAATCACCCCCCCCCCCTACCGTCATCATCCCCCCCTACCGTCATCAATTACCACCCCACCCCAAACCAATCACCAACCCACCCCTAATCAATTACCAACCTAACTCTACATTGCTACAATTAACCTTACCGTGACCCTATCATTAAAACTAATTTTAACCTAATCTCCAACCCCATATTAATTAAACCCCTTCGCAGTAAAACCAAACTCCACCAGTAAACCATAAAATCCACAGCATACTCTACTGCCCTGCTGATCATAAAATTAGCCTGTTGCACGGAATTTTCAAACCTCAATTATTTCAGGGGAAAAATATAGACCTATATACCAAAACTAAAAATATATCGTTTTCATTGTATCGATACCAATGTATGTATGTTAAGCTTGAGAAGGAGGGATATGGCCTTTAAAAAATTGGTGGGCGTGGCACCACCAACTTATAACCCTTCACCGTTCACTCTATGTTGATAACATTGACGTATGTTCTACTGCGACCTTACGATAATTTGGAAGAAAATAAGTTGAGCTCGTTAGTCATACGTTCATCGTGATAGCGTAAGCGTGTATTATCGTCTGTTTGTGTTCTTGAACTGCACGCGAGAGATCACATGACCTAACCAATCATGAGTTTATTTTCTGCGCGGCTGTTGCGAATTATTTCGCCAGTAGGTGATAAGGCAGGTAGGAAGCGGACGGTTTATAATTGGATGTGACCAGTTATGTCAACAAGCTCTCACACTCAATGTGTTAACACTCTCTTAGACTGAATATTTTAACAATCTCTCTAACCGAATATGTTAACAATTTCTCACAGTGAATTTGTTAACAATCTCTCACACCGAATATGTTAACGATTTCCCACACTGAATTTGTTAACAATTTCCCACGCTGAATTTGTTAAAAATTTCCCACACTGAATATGTTAACAAACTCTCTTGTTGAATATGTTAACTATCTCTCTAACCGAATATGTTAACAATTTCCCACACTGAATTTGTTAACAATCTCCCACACTGAATATATTAACAATATCCCCACACGCGATAACACAATTTATTCAGCTGAGTCTCGCCAAATAAAAATTTCGTGCGTCGTAAAAAACTATCACTTTCTGTTGGTGAAATTAGGTTGGCGTGTTAGCTTCAACTTCTTCGTTCTTCATTGCATTATTGGAGGTGATTTCCTCCAACAGAATTCATGTCAACATGTTTATGCGAAATCAGCCTGCTTTTTATTCTTGGTGTGTTGTACCCAGCTTTGTGTCACGGGGTTTGAACTCTGTACATTTGGGTTAGCAATCACGTGTGTTCTCGTCCGACCACGCCGTCGGCCGGTGTGTCATCCAATTAATTAATAATTGGTATTTTTGTTTCGTGTTTTAAAATTAAAATTTCAATTTATACTCCAAAAAATAGAATGTTATTTGGACTTTACGCAATACACATAGAATCGTATAGTAGAAGAATGTGGTGTCCATTTTTTTAGACAATGGAAGTGTTCGAAGACGTCTCTTCTTCTTTCCCATTCCCGACAACGCCAGACTTCACCTTACTTAATTGTTTACATCATACAAACTCGAACCCAGGTACTCGGGGTTTTGGGGTTCGCCATCGAGTGCTCTATCACCCCTACCATACCATTCCACAGAAGAAGTGATCGATAATTTATTGTCTATCGATTGGCGTGTTTAGCGTGCACTTTAATGCTGGTGTTGCCCCAAAATGACAAATTGATAGTACCTTGTTTATGCCGGTACGCCAATCAAAAAATATTAGTCGCGCGCGGTTCATGCAAACACCAATCAAAAGCGTCAAGGTACAAATTATCTGACAGATATAGGTCATAGGTCAGCACATAAACGTCGCGCTAAGGGCAAAGTTCGCACATTTAAAAATATACAATCAGACTTATCCTACGAAATAAATAATTTTTGTGATCTGAATATAAAATTGTAGGTTTTTAAATTGCGTTGTTTTGATATTTAAAATAACATCAATATATAGAAGGTGAAGGTGAGAGTACGTTTTAAAGCGCATAAGATTTGCTATGTTTATTTCTGCAAGATTAATTCTCGTCTTAGCAAAAATAACACGTTTGCTGATTAAAGGGAGAGAGGCCACGTGCTTCAGATAACATTTAACCCCTTCATACGGACAAAAGGGAGGGGGTGGGGTAAGAGGGGAGGGGGGAGGGGGGGGGGGGAGTGGATAAGCTTGATCTGACAAACAAGATCAAAACGTATACAACTTATCTGACAGAATATATGGGACCCCCTGACTATGCTTTCAACATGACTACTTATTGTGTCATAGCTAGAAGTATTATTTTCTGCTAACTTTTAAATTCCAGATGCCCTTGGTCTCAGCCCTATCTGCCCATCATTTGATCCTCCGCTGTCTCCATGCCGATCATTTATTTCCGGGGGGGAGGGGGAGATTCAAGGGGGTGGGCTTAAATTTCCGAGTTGAAGGGGAGAATTCTGCTTAATGTATATTTATTTTCAAATCATGTTTTTCTATTTCGTTGGGTGGGGATAGAAAAATGGGACGGTGAATGTGCTTCCGAGGTTGGGGGGGGGGGTGTAGTGCCCCCACGAGAAGAGGTGCTCAAAAGAAACTCTGCCTCCCCCCCCCCCCCCCCCCAACACACACTCCTCATACAACCAAGGCTACCTACGATAAACACAATTACTGACCACCACCCTCCCCCCTCCCAATACACACACAAAGTCACACAGTCATACACCCCTAACCTTCCCCGCCCGCCTGACACAAACACCCAACCATAACACACTTCCTACACACTAAACCGACATCCTCCTCCTCATACACACAACTTTGCGTATCTCATCACCCCCCCCCCCCCCCGACACACACACACACACACACACAAACACACACACGTACTGACCTTGTTTAAGACTATGAAACCACTCAATATGTTTTCTGAGAAAGGGAACAAACTCGTGACACTCAAAGTCTGTTCTCATCTGTGGGTCCTTTTGGATGAGGGTAACAAACTTGTCCAAGTTCGATTGTCGACCCTGAAAAAAGTTTACGTACCATCGAAATGAATGTAATGTAACACAACGATGATGTTACAGTTTTACATTTACAAAACAGAAAACATACAGCTACATTTAGTGTGGGTTTTTTTTTAACATGGTAACCACGTGTGTATTATCAGTACTAAAGTAAAGTATTCTTTCGAGCCTGACGGCCCACTTGGGCGGGTGAAGTATAGTTCACCTGCATCTCTGATCTCGGCATGTGAAGGGATATTGTGGTCAGCACTTTGACCAGCCGCCTTTTCTTTTCTTAACGCGAGTCATGAACCCATCAGAGCTGGGTTGACACAACGACGTTCTACTGACACGAAACCGGGATTTAAACTCGACTTTCGGGTTAGCAGTCGTATGCTCTACCATTCGACCACGCCGTCCCATATCCGTTTTAAAATAGAGTTTTAAAAAGCAAATCAAGTAGAGGCTGTGGTGCTTAGCGCTAGACGGCTAACCCGAAAGTCTCAAGTTCGAATGCGGGTTCAAGCAGTAGAACGTCCCTGAGGCCACCCAGCTATGATGGGTACCTAACCCACATTAGGGAAGTAAAGACGACCGGCCATATTGTTGACCTTACTATCTGTTCACATGCCGAGGTCACAGAAACAGGTAAACTCTACTTCACTAGTCCAATGGACCGTCAGGCTCAAAAAGGAAACTTAACTTTTTTTTAAACAAAAAAAAATAGAATGTGGTGATTCACCTCGACATCAGCACCAGATTTCGTGATGTGTGGTGTTGGCGTTGTCGTTGGTGTCGACACACCATCACTTTGCTCTGAAACGATAAAAGTCCACTCATTAAAACTACTAATTACAAACGCTAATTATACCGCTAATTATGTTTATAATATAATTTTAAGCTTATTTATTGCTAAATAAAAAGTTTTATAAAATCTAGTTATAAAACACGAAATTTTAAAATGTCCTCTTAGATATTAATAATAGCAACAATGCTAATTTCATTTGCGCTACTTATAACTTTTGACTAATTAAAACAAGTAGTAAAATATAATTTAAAACATATTTAAAACTACTGCACTGTAATTTAAATAACTAATTACAATTAGTAAGTAAAACTTAATATAAGCACAATCAATTAAAACAATTTCCCTTAATTTCAATAAATAATATTACATCATTGCTATAATTATAACACACAACATTAACTCTAGTCTAAACCTAAACTTTAGTCTTAGTGTGACCTTGTATGTTGAAATTCTGATACAGGCGAATCTCATTGTATAAATATACTCCGGCATTTAAAATCCATACGCAACAAAAATATTAAAACAAAAAGCTATTCTTTAAGCCAAACGTAGCCATTTCTGGCCAAGTCGTCTATATTACAGTGAGCTGTTTACATTGTGTATTTTTTTTTACTGCCAGGAACTGATTAGCCGACACTCAAGGATTATTGACAGCACAAATAGTTGAGTAGGTCGAGATGACATATGTCAGTTTACTAGACCAAGGTTCGAATACCTTCTTAACCAGTTCACTTTATCCCCACTTTAGTGGGTACTGGACTAAATGGAGAAAGGAAAAGTCGATTTTCGTGTGGTCTTGTGTCATTAAAAAATGTCTTATCCCTTTGAAGAACAGCATTTATATAAATACTATAATTGAAAATGTAAAATAAACAATAACATTGTGGAATAGTTTTAAGACACAATAGCCTGCTTGCACAAATATATCTTACTTTTTTTACAAATAGTGTTTTTAATTATATTGTAAAAAGCGATTTCTGCTACAGCTTTGCAACTCTCATGACTTATAAAATAAATATTTTTTTGTAATTACCAATTAGTGTCATGGTTTAAAGAAAAAAAATGTCATAGTAATGTTAATTAAACAAGATTGGGTATACTAGGTAAATTATAATTTTGAAACAGTTATATAGGATAGGGGATGGTGGAAAGGGTTTAATTTTGTGGTATATGGTATGTTTGCGATTCGCAAACAGTTAAATATTTAAAGTAGTATTTTTAATGTTATGTTTTTAAACTTCTTAGCCCATATATTTCGTTACTTAAGATATTATGCTTAGACCTCTAATTTGTCGTAATCAGAGTTGCACAATTAATTATTTCTTTAACGTAAATTTACCGTTATTACCAGGCAATATAACGTTACTGTTAATAGCCGTAACATACTTAACCGTTAACATTTGTAACACAACTTAACCGGTAATAACAATGTTAACAATGTTACCATTAATACTGGAAACATAACTTTACCATTAGTACTTTAGTACTGGTAACATTTCTTTACTGTCAATAGTGGTAAGATAACTTTACTATTATTACTGGTAATATAACTTTACCATTAATACTGGTAACATAGATTTACGTTAATATTGGCAACATAACTTTACCGTTAATAGTCCTTACAAAGTTTTAACACTTGTTACATAACCGTTAATAACACTATTAAGATAACTTTACCATTAATACTGATAATACTTATAATATAACTTTACCGTTAATACTACTACTAACATACCTTTACCGTTAGAACTGATATCTATTTCCTCCTCCATATTGCGGACTACCAAGAAGCAATATGTAATCTGTTTGACGCTCGCCTCTCTGTGACCTTCCTACTACTCCATCCAACTCTTCTGTCTTGACGGCAGGCAGATGATATCATGCCAGAAAGTCCACGTCTGAAATCAATCGTTCATTTGTCGTCTGCCTCTCACAAGCGCCAACTGGCAAATGGGATTTTAGTGTTTGGAGAAAATCCTGGCTAACCAAGTGACTTGTTTTTTATGGGGTGAGTTTAGTTTGGTGACGTCAAGACTGTGATTTTGAGAAAAGAATATTTTCTAAAAATACACACAGAAGCCAAAGAAAAGACACTGATATATAAATGTATCAATGAGTATATTTATTCTTAATGGTATTATTTAAATGTCGATTTCAAAGAAGAATCTAAAATTATTTGTTTAATAAATTCCACTATGGCAGGATTCATTCTTCCAAACTATTGAACACAACGACCAGCTAGAATGACAAGCTATAATGACCATTTACAATGACCAGCTATAATGACCATTTACAGTGACCAGCTATAATGACCATTTACAGTGAACAGCTATAATGACCATTTACAGTGACCAGCTATAATGACCATTTACAGTGACCAGCTATAATGACCATTTACAGTGACCAGCTATAATGACCATTTACAGTGACCAGCTATAATGACCATTTACAGTGACCAGCTATAATGACCATTTACAGTGACCAGCTATAATGACAATTTACAGTGACCAGCTATAATGACCATTTACTGTGACCAGCTATAATGACCATTTACAGTGACCAGCTATAATGACCATTTACAGTGACCAGCTTTAATGACCATTTACAGTGACCAGCTATAATGACCATTTACAGTGACCAGCTATAATGACCATTTACTGTGACCAGCTATAATGACCATTTACAGTGACCATCTATAATGACCATTTACAGTGACCAGCTTTAATGACCATTTACAGTGACCAGCTATAATGACCATTTACAGTGACCAGCTATAATGACCATTTACAGTGACCAGCTTTAATGACCATTTACAGTGACCAGCTATAATGACCATTTACAGTGACCAGCTATAATGACCATTTACAGTGACCAGCTATAATGACCATTTACAGTGACCAGCTATAATGACCATTTACAGTGACCAGCTATAATGACCATATACAGTGACCAGCTATAATGACCATTTACAGTGAACAGCTATAATGACCATTTACTGTGATCAACTATAATGACCATTTACAGTGACCAGCTATAATGACCATTTACTATGACCAGCTATAATGACCATTTACTGTGATCAACTATAAGGACCATTTACAGTGACCAGCTATAATGACCATTTACTATGACCAGCTATAATGACCATTTACTGTGATCAACTATAAGGACCATTTACAGTGACCAGCTATAATGACCAACAACCTTTGATGATAAACTCATATGCCCACCCGCATGACAATCTGCCATAACTGGCTGTGTTTCACGGCTATATTTCCCAGCTATGTGTCCAGCTACGTTTCTCAGCTGATAAGTTGCAACCAGCTGCGATTCCCAGCCTATATTCCCAGCTGCCTAAACTAACACCCCATCACTCTAACAGAACCCGGTCTGATTAACAATTGATTACAAGACGAACCAACAACAAAACGAGATTTCCTATCGATCCGATTGATTCATAGCTTCAGCCATCGATTTCACCATCTTCACATTGTTACATCTGTCTGTGGCTTACAACTTTAAGAAAAGAGTTTTGTCTAGTTTTTTTTGTAAATGCGCTTTAGGTGATCACTATACATTGTAGTACATTCAAATTTAATAAAATAGTAAAATATGTTGATAAGCAGATGACTAGGATTTAATCATTTATAATTCTAATCTCTGTTAGGGTTATGGTTAGTGTCAGAACTGCGACACTGTTGTAATTAGCATTAAAATTTATTAAATTATTAGTGTTAGAACTAGGTTTATGTTAAGATTCATTAACATACTTATAAATGGGTTCATGGTTAAGATTAGAATCAGCGATTGGATATCAGCACAAGCTAAGTCCATGGTTTATCCAATGTAATGAAATTTACTGAAACAATATTCATATTATCCTCAGAAATTTTGTGACACGTCCATCTCGCTATTCAATAAATAAAAATACGCGCCTTTATGATGTTATTGAGAACGGTGTGGTCGAGTGGCAGAGCTTACAGCTACTAGCCTTAAAGTTTCGAGTTCGGATCCCGGGTTTGAGTCTGGAGGACCTCCTTGAATCCAGTCCACCCAGGTCTTTTGGGTACTTGACTCTCGTTAGGGAAAGTGAAGCGGCGGCTATTATTGACCACACTATCCCCTTGTATGCTTAGGTTGTTAAAAATGACAGAGTATATTATAGCCTCAGCTGTTGCTACCCTTTCGAATCCTAAAGTCTGAAACGACGACACACAAAAACTTAATGGGAAAAGTAAAGAAATAAAACAAACTTACTTTCTTTAGATACAACACTAAAAGCAGTGGTCACTCGGAAAATCTCTAATACAATTAAACGATAAAAGCTTTTACTCATTTATTCTAAGACATTAAGTTTTTGTTCACTTATTTTTATATATTTGAAAGGTTGTTTTCATTGAGTAGTTGTTATCTAGTCCACTATAAAGGAAAAGAACACAAGTATTACTACCGATTCTATTTTTAGATAAATAATTGGAAACAAAATATTAAAAGAGACGCATTTCCTAATTTAAAGAGACATATCTATCTGTACACTGATATACAAAATATTAAGTCAAAGTTATTATTTAATAATTATTAGTCAATAAATCAACTGCTAACTCATTAAATCCAATGTAGATTTAGTGCTTTTGTTATAAGTCATGCATGAATTAACAAACACTTGGAGTTAAATCAAACGGTAAAAAGTAGATTTGGATTGTATCAAATGCTTCATAAAACCACAATCGATTACGTTTCACTTTTTTACAATGTGTTTAAACAGGCCTACTTCTAGCGTTACTGGCCTCTTCAAATCTTTTACCTCGAGGCTTTCAAATCCTCCAACACAAACAGATATTGCGCCGAGCGTGTTGTCAACTCTCGCTTGATCCACGCAAATCTTTAAACGTTTATGGCGCTAAAGAAATAAATGCACAATTTATTGACTGAGAAATAATGCCCCCTTTTATGTCTGATAAAAACTCTCTCCCCGTCTTGTTTTCGGGGGTTTAGCGGTTAGAGTCGACGGTTATTGCTTTTTTTTTTACTAAAGTGTGGTTGGAATTCGTGAAGTTTTAACTCCCGTGTTGAGTGTTCGCATGATAAGATTAGGGGGTGTCGGGGTATTTATTTTAAATGTTAGGGGGTAGAGTTTGAATAGGTCGGAATGGGTCTACGACATGTCATGACAAATACGTCAAAAGGGAGAAATAAATTTCATAATAAATAGATCAAGATTAGCTCAGACTAAAGAGAAAAATGGCAGGGCCTTATGTGAATTAGGTTTATTTTGTTCAAACTACCCAAAGTACAGGCAAGGTTTTTCTTTGGGACCTAATGTTTGATAGGGTAGGTGAAGTAGAGTTCATCTGTTTCAGTGTCTCGGCGTATAATGAAAAAGTGAGGTCAGTTCTTTGTCCAGCTGTCTTTGCTTTCCCTAACCTGTTTCAGGTACACTTTGGAGCTGGATGACCTCGGAGCCGCACTATGGACGAGCCCGGGCTTCGAACTCAAGACCTTCAAGTTAACAGACGTCCTCTCTAACACCCGGCCAACCCGTTCTAATCCGAACTATCCAAATACTTATCCTAATCTTGACTGTTATCCCAGCCCTGGTCCTAATCCTAGTCCTAATTCTGGGTCTAATCCTTACCCTAATTTCGCCCATGGCCTTTACCCTATTATTAACCCAACAGCTATACACCATACGATGTTTGACTGTAGTGTTGAAGCTCACACAAGTACCGAACATTTAATGTCTTCAATCTGTGTGAGTTGTACACGTGAACAGCGGGTAACATAACACGATTGTTCTATTGTTGATTAAACACTGTTTTATGTAGGCTACTCATTTATTCTACATTTACTACATGGGATTATGAGATTATCCTCGAAACTATAGATAATACCATTACGTTAGCAACTCTATTATCACACACGCCAAACTGACCGACATCTATGGGGTCAGCGTGACCAAACAGCTGCCTTGTTGTTTGTTCTCGGATGGGGAAAAATACAAAAAAGAAAAGCAGGCTGAAATCGGAGTCACCGACCGATATAGCGCTTAGAGAGTTGACACGTAATACTTCATTGTGTTAAAGGAAATCCCGTCCAACTTTACAATTAAGCAAGAAGTTTACCAACGTCTGATTGTTCGGTTACGTCACATTCAGAATGACGGTTACGTCACATTCAAAATGACGGTTACGTCACATTCAGAATGACGGTTACGTCACATTCAGAATGACGGTTACGTCACATTCAGAATGACGGTTACGTCACATTCAGAATGACGGTTACGTCACATTCAGAATGACGGTTACGTCACATTCAGAATGACGGTTACGTCACATTCAGAATGACGGTTACGTCACATTCAGAATGACGGTTACGTCACATTCAGAATGACGGTTACGTCACATTCAGAATGACGGTTACGTCACATTCAGAATGACGGTTACGTCACATTCAGAATGACGGTTACGTCACATTCAGAATGACGGTTACGTCACATTCAGAATGACGGTTACGTCACATTCAGAATGACGGTTACGTCACATTCAGAATGACGGTTACGTCACATTCAGAATGACGGTTACGTCACATTCAGAATGACGGTTACGTCACATTCAGAATGACGGTTACGTCACATTCAGAATGACGGTTACGTCACATTCAGAATGACGGTTACGTCACATTCAGAATGACGGTTACGTCACATTCAGAATGACGGTTACGTCACATTCAGAATGACGGTTACGTCACATTCAGAATGACGGTTACGTCACATTCAGAATGACGGTTACGTCACATTCAGAATGACGGTTACGTCACATTCAGAATGACGGTTACGTCACATTCAGAATGACGGTTACGTCACATTCAGAATGAAGGTGCTCTAGTGACAGCTGACACCCAGGTGAAGAGAAAAAAACTCAATCACGTCAGGATATCGACACCGGAAGAAAAATAAATGACGTCATTTATGCGCGTGCCGTCAGGAGCAGTGTTTCTTCCAGACTTTTTACTCCGGGGGGGGGGTCACTTGAAAT